CGGTTTGTCAGCGCTGTCCTCCCATGCGCCACCAACTTGGCTGAACATGAGAGTCCCATCCCAGGACAAACCCAGGGGGTTTCTTGTGCAGCGTCTGACTCGCCTGGATGCAAAAGGTTCACCGTGTCCTCACCAGCATCCTGCTGCTGCAGCCATGCTTGTCCTCCCTCCAAAATAATAATAACACCTAAAACATGCTATTTATGCAGGATGATGTCTCAGCATATGAGAAAAGCTGCGGTTTTAATTGGTGGCAGGACAAAGACAGCGCAGAGCGAACATGAGCTAATGAAGGGACGCATCTTTTGTCCCCGCGTCTTTTGTCTAGTCCCAGCTGAGAAACGGGATACACTGTGTTCTGCCAGCATGCTGTCAGCGGCAATTACGGTTTACACTGCTGCCTGGGAGCCCAATCCTTGTGCCTTTTGACATGGTGCTCCACAGTGCTTGACACGAAGCACAAATGTCTGGCCAGGGCATCAAGGAAATACTACGGTTACGCAAGAGGATCAACGCATCATCTTTGTCGGAACTCGAAGCACACGAGCGCTTAAAGAGTCGAGATGTGCGTGCACGGTAGGTGCGGAGCAACTGCGAGCTCTGATGCTGTGGGTGTTTGCTGTTGTAAGGCCCAGCGAGCAAAGCTTTACGGTTGCATCACAAATCTCCTAGCAACCATCATGGCTGCCCATTAAGTAGAGAATATTAAAGATGGACGCAAGATCGCTGTCAGTTGAAATAATTTGCACTTTTCAGGTTTTGTGGGTTAATTCGGGCTAATGTCTGCTTTTGTTGTCACCAAATAAACGAATAACAGCGCAAACTTTGGAAACTCTTTTTGCCTTCAACAGCCAGCAGGACGACGACGTGCTCGACGAACGCTGGAATCAAGTTACAGAGTTTTAACATATGTTCATAACTTATTGGGAAGCTCTCACTTTTCTGCAAGCTTTCTCGTTTTGTTTTGTTTCAGGCTTTTTGGCTCCATAAATGTAAAGTTGAACCATGCAGCTCCATACAACCATACAGCTGCTCTCAAATGATATCAAAAAGCTTATCACTGGCATCAGGAGAATCCCAGTTGATAGGGATTTGTACGGAAGAGGATTAGGGCCACTGAACAAAAGCCTGTGCTTGAGATTTTTTTGTGTGTTTTGTTTCTCACAACTCTGAGAGAAAAGTCAAAATTCTTACCTCAGAATTCTTTGGGAGGTTTTTTTCCCCAGAAAGTCAGAATTCTGAGAATAATGTCGGAGAAAAGGTTATTCTCAGAAAAAGTCAGAATTCAGAAAAAAAAGTCTGACTTATGACTTTTTTCTGAAAATGTCAGAATTCTGAATTTCTGAGAAAAAACTAAGAATTCAAAAACAGAAAAATACGAAGTTTTACTTCTATTTAAAATGTCTTTTTATTTTGGGGGAATATACACCCCATTTTTTAAGATGCTCTAATTGTCTTCCATATTTTCATAAAGCAGCGTTGGCTGGATTTTTCGCTGAAGTTGATTTTTAAGTCGATTGCAGCTCTGTTTGTGTCGCTTTGCCTCACTGCACAGTAGATTTAGTATGTATGTTGGGGTGAATCGAGCCATGCTGTTGTAAAACATGTTGCTGAAGTGATGAGGCCTTTCTGTTTTAAAATACCCCAAAACTTATATTTATATCATTCAGCATTAATGGTGCCTTCACAGATGTGAAAGGTGCACGTGCATTACTGATCCCCTGAATGCTTTTACTGCTTGGTAAACGCTGCAGATTCAAACATCGTAAAAGTACAGCAAGCAGCAATCCGGCAGCTGTCTTGGTTCCAACCAGGTTGTGTTATGAATGCACATTTGGCACTCTCATATTTGAGATCATAGTCGAAGGAAGTGGCAAATATCATTATTATGCGCCACAGTCGAAACGGAGTGTGAAAGGGCCAATTTATGGGACCGCTCTTGTACAGTTGTGTGCAGTGGCAACAGGCCCGTTGTCACAACCCTCTATTGAATGTTGTGGCATTGTTTGCTTTTGGTGCACAGTGAATTCAGGCCTGCACGTACTGAACATGACTTCAAGTATTCAAGATTTTGACTGCTGTGGAAGTCAAATTGGCCTGGGCTATTTGCTATGATGCAAGCAAACCAGTTGTTCTTCACCGTGTGGTGTTGGTGGTTTTCTCTAAATCAGCTGCGTTATCTTAAATGTGCGGCTTTTTTGAACATATTATCTCACACGTAAGTAAGTCACATGTAAGCCCTTATGGTTACACAGCAAAACAGCGTTTTGGACACGCGTCTGCAGCGTAATGACCAATTTCCAACTCATTTCTGATTTTTCTATTAAATGTAAGATGTGTGACCACCTTGTTTTTCCCGAGTCTTCCAGCTTGAAACGAAAGGTCAGATGGTTGTTTTCTGACCGTCCGCAGGACGCAAACTTGGCCGGGGCTCACGCAGGGGTCACTCATTCTCTTTTTATCGGGGTCCCTGACGTCAGCCGGTGCCCTTGGGAAGCGAATCTGCGACCCAGAGGAAAAAGCCTCTTCAAGGAGAGGCGTGTTTGATTAATCGTATTGTTCCTGTCGGGTTCACCTTGCTCGCTGGAGTCACCCTGGACAGAGCAGCCAGAACGGAAGTGCGCTGCATGTAATGAGGGCCGGAGCATCCTTCCTCTCTTTCTCAGTCACTGTCTCGCTTTGTAAATGCCACAGCGGCGCAGACAAACGTCTCATTCTCTTTTCTCCCGCATAACAAAGGCCTCTGTCAACATACAGTATGCTCTCGTTGCCAGGACCGGGTCAAGTTTGCCTCTTGTCTCTCCTGGGAGATGCGGCGGACGGAGCCCCTTCACCATTTTGCTAAGCTTGTTAGTCCTGCACCCCCCCCCCCCTCCCCACCCATTTATATTCCCTATGACAACATATTTTTGATGCAGCTACGCTAAGTTGAGTCGACTAACTCTCTGCCTGAGGGTAGAAGAAGCTATTTATGGCTCCCTGTCTCCCGATTCTTACCCAGTGGAACTGAAGGATGGAGAGGAATGGAGAAAGGGAGATATGAAGGAGCTACATTGAGGTGTTGGGGGGGGGGCTCTGCTGTGTAACTAGGCTACATTTAAGATTGATGGATCCTGTCGCCAAGGTATAGGGCACTACTTTGGCGGGTTATCGCTTCATTACGTTGCTCCGACTGCTGTGTGTCCCACTCTCCCTCTTCAGTGCTCCAGCACACACCTATGCTCCCTCCTCCCCACGTGAGTGTCGGGTATCAACCCTGCGGTTTGGGGCTGAAAGCTTATACGCTTTGTCTAACTAACCACAGACAACGACACGCGCACCCCTCCACCAATTCCCCACACTTAAAAGTCGGAGATGTAAAGCTCCCACCAGCAATTTGTGCAAAAGCAGGGCGTAGAATTACTCCAAGCCACAGGTGTCATGCACAGGCAGATGCACCTCATTTCCATTGCAAAATGCAGCAGCGTGCGTTTCATTTGAATAGGAACGTCAGGGGATATCGGCTCTCACCGATGCGGACGGGTTTGTTTTTGGAGAGGCTTTGACCACCTTGTAATATTTCCTCGCTCTTTACATAAAGTCTGCAGGAGTTTGAATTTGAATGTCACCTGTGTGTGTAGATGTGTTTCAACAGGGCCAAATGTGACACTCAAGCCCACGCCCAAGCCCTCACTTGTTGGGGGGACAGGGTGGTTGAAGGTGGAGGGTTCGGGGGTACTGGTGCATCAATTCGCGCAAGGTGGCGCGAGACGAATGCACGTACATAATCAGCGCAAAACGCATCCCTGCAGCTTCAAGGCTAATTAAGAGCGTGCGTCTGTGTGTATGTGCCCGTCTGGTCCAGAGAGAATTCCAGAAATAGATCACGCACAGCGAGACGCTCGCCCGTTTCCCTCTCCTTTTTTTTCTTTTTGATGCCTCCGGAGGGATTTTACATGGATTTTCATCTCGCGTCCAAAAGGAATAATTGCATATTTGTGCCCCTCAGATGTTTTTGAGCCTTGTGCTCAGGATTTTTAGATGTAAATGTATTTATACACAGATGGCTCAGGTGCTCGTGTTTACTATGAATACACACACATATAGAGGATGGATGCAGCAGCAGTAGTCGCAGGTTTGTGTGCGGTTGCAATGCATGCACTATTTCAATGTCAGTGTTTTTTTTTTTTCTCGTTTCGCCGTTTCGTTGCTTTTTCCTCCATCTTTCCATCGCCTCATCATCCCTGCTTCCCTCTACCTCTCTCCCCTCTTACCCCCTCCATCCCCTGATGCATCCTCCTCCTCCACCACTACCCTTCTCCGTGGCTCTGCTTTTTATAGCCATGTCTTCCCAGGGCTCGGCAGCTACAAAAGCCTTTTCATGTTGCCACTATAATTACAGCCTACACACACACAGACACACACACAGACACACACATACACGCATGCACATTAGAGGAGTGTCTTTGTGTCTGTATGCATGTGCGTTGTGTGTGTGTGCCTGTGTGTGCTCCTGCATGTGCCGTTACACACAAAAGGGTGAGCTATTTTTACCTCTCTCCCTCCCTCCCTCCCTCTCCTCCTCTCCATCGCTCCCCCCACCTCCCCGCCACCACCATCCCCCTCATCCCTCTCTGCCGCCGCTGCTTGCTGCCAGCCACATTTGCTATGCTGAGCACAGGCAGCATCAGTCGAGCCCCAACTCCTCTCCTCTCGCACGCCGAACTCGCGCGCCCCTCGGCGTCCCCTCAGAGCTTTTCCGAGCACCCCCGCGGTCGCGAAGACCCTCCGCGCATTCACCACTCGCTTTCTCTCTCCGGCCAATGGAACGCGCTCAGGTGTCGGTACCGTTGCCGCTGCACGCGCTGGCCGCAGCGCAGATGACCTGAAGCCCGCTTGTTTGCACTGTGGCTCTGTTTCTTTTTTTTCTTTTAAAAAACTGCCCGATTAGGTTTGTCGCTGGAAGCTTGTCTCAATGTTGCGGACCATATTTGAAGCGGAGTGTTCTCTCTCTCCCACAGAGGGAATCCTGGGAAAGGAGCAGCCGCTCGAGGTCCTGAAGACATCGGCGCTCAACCACATCCCAACAGGTTGGACACTCTGGATGTTTGTTTGGGTGCACGTGTATGTGTGTGTGAGCTTCTATAAACCAGAGTGTGTGTGTGTGAACAGACGTGATTTCACTATTAACCACATCCTGTGTGACTTTGCATGCGTGTTTGTTTCTCCTGGGATGTCATAAATTGTCGTGCCGTTTGTGAAGTGCCATCACGTCAGAGATGTCTCTGCACTTTGTCCGACTGAAGGTTGACGGCGTTTTTATTTACGCTGGTGTGTCAGCGTGCCGTTTGTTTTTCCTTTTTCTTGTTTTTTTTTTGCTGAATGACAATCCAGCAGTGTGTTTGCGAGCTCACGTGAAACTACACCAAAACAAACTATTCCACACAGTTTCATCTCCCCCAAACAAATCACACCACTTCCTGTGAACCCCGCCACCCCGAGTATGCTCAAATCGCCAAGTTTTTATTAGCAGCATACAAGCGTGGAGAGTTCATAGCAGCGAGAGGACAGAGGAGAGATGGAGCAGCGCAGAGGGAGGCCAGAGTACAGAAGTGAAAGGGGCACAGATGGAGAGATGAGGTAATCTGAAGGAGAAATGAGTCTGAGGTAATATATGCATAATGCATTATCTAATTCAGTAATGAGGGCGCTTCTAATGCTTCTAGCGCAGAACAATTTGGATTGTCGTGGTTGAAAAATAGTTACAAAAGAAAACAAAAATGGCAAAAGGCTGATTCATAAATTTCCTCCCCTGCTGCTCTTTCCACGGCTCTCCCAGAGCAGCGATGAAGAAGTGCTGTAAGCTCGAACAGCCTGTTGCTTCAGGGGAGCAAACAGCAAAGTTTCATCTTTGGTTCGACCCTAAGCGTCTTGGTCTTTCACGGGCTTCACGCGCTCTCTCTGCTGGGGTTGTTTTCTGCGCGCCTTCCGGCTGCACTGATAAAATATTGAAATCTGCCGGAGTGACTTCATCAGATATTCTCCAAATCTGTTGTCTTGGATACAGAGCGGCTCGGGGCCCTCCGCTTTGGTGTGACCCCGGACCGTTCGGTTCTTTCTCCTGAGAAGCGAGAGCTGCGGGAAATCTTAGCATCTACATCGCTGCATCATTAAAGCTGCTTTTGTCATGTGATCCTAATGTAACCAGATGCTGGTGGTTGCATCTTAGCACACAGTGCAAAGCTCTGGTCGGTGCACCTGCACGCAGCTGCGCAGGTCCATTTTTTTCACCAGCGTTGTGTTTGTTTGTTTTTTATCGGAATAAATTACGTTTCCTGCAAATCTGCAGAAGCTCAAAGCAGAGATGTCGTAATTTAGCCGCAGACTCTGGTGCCAGCTTCTTGTTTGTTAGGATGCTGACATATCTTATGTAATGCTAAACCGACTGCTTGGAGGTTTTGAAGTGCTAGTTAGACATATCAGGCACGTTTGAAAAGTGGAATTGAGAAAAAAAGTGGCACTGCTTTCAGACATTCTCTAGTCCAAGGAATAAATTGAAGAATAAAATAGTCGGCAGATCATTCGATCAAAAAATGACATCGCTGCACGGCGTTAGCTTGGGCAGGCCTCAAAGTCGAGCTCATCCACAGTCACGTCAGACCAGCTGGTGGTGTGCTGTGCTCTGTTTGGTCAATTTCATGTGAGGTTGACTTTTTAAGTATCTTCACGCTGCCCGTAGCTGCTGGGATCTACAAGCTGCTTTGCAACCCACCTCGCCCCTTGTGTTGGACCCCAGCTCCTCCTTTCACGACCTTTTTTTTTTTTTTGCTACTGATTTGTGTTTAATGGTTCTGCTGCTCTCAACCTCTGGGTTTCCATGTCTGCAGATTGAAGAGGAGTTGCTAAAAATAATATTCAAATTTTTTTTATAAATAAAGAAAGAAAGTAATGCAAATGGCCGACTTCCTGTTTGACTGCTTTGCTGTCACTTTAAATTGAATGTAGCATTAGAAGTATGAGAACAAATGTTCTCTTGATCTGAAATACGAACAAATCAGCTGATGATATAAAGAGTCATCAGCTGATGCCCTAAACAAGGACAACTGACAAATTTGACAACCCCTCCCCCTCCTCCCCCTCCTCCCCCTGCAGAAGTAGATGTAGTTCAAAGAGCGCTCACCTCTCTCTGATAGTGCACACCTACTCTACTGAACGCATCTTTGCGTTGAAGCCCTCACCATCCTCTATTTGTGCGTCATCCCAGATAGCGAGGTCTGACACGCTTAATTTAAAGCCTGGTCGCAAAGGACTTCTGCACGTACCGCACCTCGGCTTCACACGTCGCCCCGCTCTAGATCTCACATGTTGTGTCTCTGCCGTCTCCTTCCTGTTAGCCCGCGGTGCCGCAGACCGCTCTGTGATGTCATTGAGACGGCGACAAGTCGGGGCTTGCATTCAGAAGAGCAGGACTTGCTGCACCTCGACACGTTCCCCAACGCCACGCCTTACCTGTTCCCTTTCCCTACTTTGCCCGAGGTCTGTTTGTGTTTTTTCACTTTGTTCTTTTTTTGGAGGTCGCCGGGCCGTTTCAGAGCCAGTCTTGCTCTGATAGCTCTCACTGAGAGAAAAACGAAAAGAGACGTTCACGCAGCCCGCTCTCAGAGGCCGATAAAGCGACCGCAGCTATTTTCCATCATCAACAGATGTGCTACTTGTTGCCTCTCGTCGCACCCTGCTGCTAAACTCACTGTGAAACCTGTTCTTTGTCTCTTTGCACGGCGCCAGAAAATAAAAAAGAGAGCGACCTCAGTCACATTTTGCTTCTCTAAACAGCTCCGCTCGGCTCTCAGTATGACATCTATTAAGCCTAATGAGTGTGGAGCTCAGCGAGTCAGACCGTGGGATATACGCTGTGCTATCCGAGTCTCAAATCAGAGACGCCAGCCCTCTGCATTGTCTGGTATAAATAGATCCGCAATTGGAGCCAGAAGAGTTGTGGAGTGCGCCCGAGGGGTTGTAAACAGATTGTGATTTGTTGCGGAGAGATGGAGGGAAGAAAGGTGGAGAGGAGGGAGGGAGGGAGCTGCTGAGCGGGTAAGGACGCAAAATAGGGCTGCAGGATAGGGGACACAGGGATGGAGGGTAGAGGAACAGCTGACAGGGAAGGTGGCAAAGGGGGACAAAGTTGTTAGATGATAGAGGGAAAAATGTTTAGGTTACGTGCTGTCAGAGAGGTTGTCGTTGATGCTCAGAAATCTTCTGTGTAAACTTCAAGGAAGAAAAAGGGAACAGAGATTTGAGGCTTCAGCCGTCGTTGTCTTTCCTCTCTGAAGCTGATCCAAGAGGAAACAAACTGGAACTGAGCTGGAGTCCTCGCTCCTGTCAAGTCTGATTCAGGTACAGCTGCGCAAGAAGCCTGGAAGTCCCTGCGGTCGCGCAGAGACGGCACGTTTGTTAGTGTTTTGGTTTTGGTGGAAGTGCCCTCATATTATCTTCTATCTGGCCAACATCAGTAAACTGAGGTACGTGTTTGACGTCAGTGCTTGTACACGGCGACGTGCCGATACGAGAGTTTATCTTTTTCTTTTTTTAAGAAGCAGGTCGGTCTCAAAGGATTTTCACTGACTGAATGTTTTTGCTTTGTTTTTGTTTTTTTGAAGTATGCCCCTCCTGCGCTCGCGCTTAGTTAAGATCACGTCACGTGTGTTTGACGTGTAAAGGCGAGGCTGCCTTGATGTTCATTCAAGCGAAATAAGATTGTGAATAAACATCTTCTGTATGCAGTTTATTGACCTTGACCAATGTAAGTCATTCACATAATAAAGCATCCACAGTAAAGACAGCGTGAGCGAGCAGACTCAGCAGAAGAGAAATCTTTGTTTATGCCCAGTGCTGATGTGAAGATTCTCCATATGCACAGTTTGTGTCATACATTCATGTTTTTCCATGAAAAGGAGCTTAAAAAAGAACTTAATGTGTTTCCACTTCACACTTTACCTGAAAAACCTTTAAACAGTAACCTCGAGAGCTGTATTGATTTATTGAATTGATTTGGATATTCACACAAACACAAGCATTTGTCATTTTTACCTCCAAAAAGTGGTCGCTTGCTCACTTGGCCTGTGTGAGACCTGCAGTACGGATCATCTGGCACGTTGCTGGGAAAGTTTGTATTTCCTGATCAGTTACAAAAAGTTGCTGATTAATGCTGTAAAATGACTACTAGAGCCCCAGTGCCGCAGGCTTAGAAACTAGTAGTAACCACCGATTTCGATGGAAAACTGTATGTTCAGTGACTGGTTGGCAACTGGTTGCTGGAGGTTGCTGGCAGGCACTAGAGTGAGGTCAGTCACTGTGCTTTGCATACAAGGCACACACTTGTCTACCGGTGACGAGGGTAATCTGTTAGCGCCCAAAACAAAAAAGAACAGTTTCACTGTAGCAGCCTGTCATAGATTACTCCGTTTTCCCTCATGAGGTCTTCGGCTGGTGTCAGCATTTGATTTCACAGCAACTTCCAGAAATCTCCAGCAACCAACTCTGGGCCTGTGTGATTGGGGCCCAACGTGTCAGTAGTTTCCCTCCCAGTTAGCCTGTTTACATTTACGCACTGAGCTGCTGCACTTAACTTTTACCAAGTTTGTGCGTCCCGTAGACGCTTTTGTTATAACGCAATGAAACCTCTGCAGCCAGAGCAGCAGGATGACGTGTGTGAAAATATTATTGTATCATTTAAACGTTTAACCGACCTCTAAATATACTTTAAATACTTTTTACAAGCATATATTTTATAGTTTACGGTCATTAAATGTCATAAGATGGACTTTTTCTTGTTGACTTTGTCAACCCGTTTGGTCACAAAATGCCTAATAAAAAGTAGCTGTTACTGTTCAGAGCTCAGCTAAACGTTCAGGCTGTAAATGTAAAACTCGCCTGTAGGACAGGAAGCTGTAAATACCAAATTCACATCTCTTCTATTGACAGTTATTTTTAGTTTAGTCGAACAGTTTGCATGAAGGACAAACACTGTGCTCGCTGAGAGCCAGGTAGTCATCAGAGCGATGTTGCAGCAGAGAGCTCACGTGCACCTCCAGCTGTTCTTCTGAACAGAATTTCAAAATAAAATGAAGATGCTGGGATTTTTTTTAAAAAAAAGCCACTTTAGATTCATCTGAGTTGGTCGAGATATAATTGATTGAAGTGTTTAACATTAATCCCAAATTTAACTACGATCCTGCAGCATTAATACGTCTGGGATCCTCACTCTGTTCACCTGAAACCATTTTGCGGTTTTATTTGTTTGGGAAATGTAGGCAAATTCCAGGCTGGGAATACGAGCTCACAGCATTAAAACCGCAAGGGGGGGGGGATAGTTATTACAAGTAAAAGGGGGCGGATGAGGAAAAAAAGGCATGCGAGCCGGTTCAGATGGGACGGCCCGCCGAGTGAGCGCGAGAGGGGGGAAGAGACATCAGTGTCTACAAGCGAGCATGGAGGGTTTTCCTTGGCCTTAGAAGTAAAGAGAGCAGAGAGGGTATGGGAGGAGAGAGAGAGTGTGTGACGCTGGTTCCTGGAAAAGCAGAGGGCTGCAGAATAAACAGGCTGCATGCCTGAGACTGCCCTGTGATGTCACCACTGGGCAAACGAGGGACGAGGGGAGGAGAGAGAAAGGAGCAGAGAGAGAGAGAGAGACGCCCATCAGGTTAAAACAGGAGGCGGGGGGGCGAAAGCCGAGCCAAAAGTGACAGAGGCTGAGCTGGAAAAGACAAGTCAGATGTGCAGGACGTACCGTCCTTCCTTGTAACGGCCCTAAAGGAAGAAGAAGGAAGAGGGGAGGAGGAAAAACAAGGAGGAGAGGACGAAGAGGAGGAGGAGGAGAGCACTGATGGGTGCGTTTAACGGCCGCTCTGATTCACACCTTTCTCTCGTCTTTTCTGCATCATCTTCTCCTTTTGTGCGGCTCGCAATTAGCGCCAGTGCCTGAGATGCGAGGTGTGTTTGTGCGTGACCATCAGCGAGAGTGTGTGTGAGGCTTGTGTGTGTTTTCTTGTGGCAGAAGAACACAATGTTCGGGGAGAGAGTGTGTTTATGAGTTATGGATTTGCATTAGGAGCCGCGGCACTTTGATAAGTGTAGTTTTCAGCCGTAAACACATCTGCGGTGTGCTTTCCCCACTCCTCTCTTAGCACTTGCTTTAGCTAATATTAGATGAGCTAAAAAATGAATGAAAAACGAAGAAATAGGCCTTATTCCAACCAGGACGTCAGATTGCAGGCCTGAAAGCGCAGCACGGAGTGCTTTTTAACCTTCAGCTAGCAGAGGACTGTGAAGGAGCTCGTTCAGACGCAGGAAAAATGATGACTGAAGAGCAAGAAAAGCAACTTTTCAAAGCAGAAGAGGCCAACGCTCTCAGTCTGTGGCAGCCTGCTGAAAGAATTATGCTGATAAGCTTTTGATAACTTTAGTTCTGTACAGGTTAAACTCGCGCCTCAGTTCTTCAAAGCGTGTGATAAGATCGTGAATCTTTTCAGGACCTTTGGAGGTCCAGAGTTTAAATACAGCATGTGCATTTAACTGCTTGGTCCTATACTGTTGGACTGTTGTGTGGAGCAGTTTCTCTTTTAAATAGTTGTGATTTTTACAGCTCCTGCAATGTGTCACAAAGAAGTTTGATGTTATTCATTACATGAACAGGTAGAGACATTCATCTATCCGTCAGCTGCTTTAAGGCCTTTAGACACGTAACATTTGATCATTTTGCGTGTAAAACAGTTTTTTGGACTCACTAAAGCAGAGGCTCACAACCACGAATTTGATACGTTTAGTTTTTCAGATTTTTCTGATCCAAATGAGCAGATTCGACCAATAAGACCACTGCATTTGGCAACAAGTGTGTTTGTAGCTCAAAAGTGCTGAAAATAAAATCATATGGAAAAAGTCAAATAATAGTATTTTACCTCAGGCACACAGCTAGACACTCGTCAGATGTGCTCACTACCTGACGCCCTTTATGATACAGCTTCAACCGCTGGGTCAGGTTCTCTCTGCTTCTGCTTTTGGACGAACGCAGAATCGCTGGTTCCTCGTTTTTATGTTAAGAAACATCAGGAGGGAACACGCCTGTATTTAGTGTAGTTTCTCATGGAAATCTTCCATCAAGCCTTCACAATTACGGCTGACAGCGGTATGGGAGTTTCACTACAACCTCAGCAGCCGGTTCCTTCTTTAAAAAGCAAAACCCAAAGTTTTCCATGCGTTTCATTTATCTTTAGATCGGACTGCTTCTCCGTCTTTGCTCTGCACAGTGATTCACGGCTGTGGGAGTTCGTCTGTCTTCATCGAGCTCACCTCGCTCCTTCCCTCCTCGCCTGCTGGTCGGTTTCCAGATTGTAACCATCGTCGCTTCTAACATGAGCAAAGGGCCAGAGAGGAGCCAAAACTCAGGGCGTTGCTCCATTTTTAATTAAATATTGGGTACCTTGTTAAGCAGATTCACAAATGGAAAAGGAAATGAAAGAACAAAAAATCCAACCATGTAGGTTCTTTTCTTGGAAGGAAAGCAATAGCCGGCTGAAAGAAGGGATCTCATGACTGGGAAATGTCAAACCTCATGTCCTGCAGGGTTGAAACAAATCAACCAGCGCGGACTACTGACTCATACGTTGTGTTGTTGTTTTTTAAAATCCCCCACATGACGACAAGTCCTTAAGGAGCCGCTGGGTGTTGCTGCCCTGTTCTCCTATGGATGGCGGCAACCATGTGGATGTGTTTCACCCCGGCACACGGAAAACACCGGCAAGAAGGCGGCAAGCCGAGTCGTTTGAGATGTGCGGTTACACTGGAGGACGTTCAGAAGTTTTTTCTGTGGTCTGCCTGCAATCCATTGCAAGGATCTTCCATAAGAGGCTTTTTACACGTCTCTGTGATGCAGCGAGAGTGCGTCTGTGCTGGAGCCTGGAACAAACTGGAAATGTTTCAGAGGTTTGTCCGAGGAAAACAAAGATGTGATCAGTTTGTGGCTGTTTGAAAGGTCGAGCACGAATACGATATCCTCAAAAAAAAAAAGAGTGTAAATGTGCCGCTGTGTGTTTTCTATGAGCAGACCTGGCTCTGAACCCTCCTATTAAGTGTGCCGCTGATGGCGTGTTTGCCTCTTTATTAACACAAAGTATCTCTGGCTCTCGCTGCGCTCTCTGCAAACATGTAGGTAAATAATCAGCCAATCGACTCCTATTTATTCAGATTAAATGGGGAGGAAGCTGCCTGATTGGAGGGCTTCCTGGGCAGTGATTTGTGCGCAGCCGGGCTCCAGGTCAATGCGATCTTTGTGGGAAGACGCCGGGCTTCTGCAATTACACACGAAACCGGATTGTTTGGCTTTTTTTGTATATACAAAAGAGACGAGGGGACAAAAGGGCGCTATTTTTATGAAAGCTTTATTTAACACTTTCTCTCAGGGATCAGAGGTCAGGGATGACTGCTGGAAAACATTCCTGGAAGCGGTATAAGCAGGAAAAAGCAACATATATGTGACGATTAAGGTGATTTATAATCAGGGGAAATCCTTCGACCTTACGTTGCATGTTCACTTGAGGCCGGATTTTGAAATGAAGGCGAGCAGATACGCAGGTATGCTTCCGTCCTAAAACTGCACAGCTGCTGGGGAGCGTGAAACCGCAGAGCTTCGAGTGACGTTTCAGGTGCTTTTCAGGCAGGTAGAAACACAGAACAACAGTTAGCAGGGCTTTGATTTAATCCCATTCATCCACGCAACCTTGCAGCTTTAAGTGCTCGAGAACAGGATCAATGTGACACATGTGAACATGTTACAGAGAGCCGTTGGGATCCACTCTCCTTTTTCCTATTTTCTGCTGCTGGGTGTCAATAGACTTTTATTAATTGCTTTCACGTGATAGTGGGCCCAATCTGTACGTTTCTAAGCTTTACTTTGCTGCTTGTGATGCTGCTAAAAATACACGAGGAGCTGATGCTCGCTGAGTGTCTGGAGAGGCTTTCGGTTAGAAAATACATCCTTGAATGTTTTAATAATCTGTGGTGAGATGATGGTGATGATAAAGTTGGCAGCTTGCTTTGCTGTGAGGTGTCACCACCTGTCAGGAGCAAACTAAAAAAGCAGATGCCTTTCTTCTTCTCTCCCGTCATCTTCCCTTGCAGTCGACATCAACTCTGCGCTGCCCCTTCGTCTCCCGCCGGCCGCCATCCCCATGGATCTGCGCGTGGACCATCACCAGCAGCAGCAGCAGGTGTCCTCGCTCTCCCCGCCCGCCCAGCAGTCGCCCGGCCAGCCCGGCGGCGGCAGCGTGGTGGCGGCATCGGTGCACGAGCAGCAGCTGCAGGCTGAGCTGCTGGCCCTGAAACAGAAGCAGCAGATCCAGCGGCAGATCCTCATCGCAGAGTTCCAGAGGCAGCACGAGCAGCTGTCCCGCCAGCATGAGGCCCAGCTGCAGGAGCACATTCAGGTACGGCCGCGTGTTTGTCAATGAATGAAGTTCAAGTGCTGGAAAAAAGGAGGCATTCAAAACAAATCTGAAAAATTTGGCCCACGTTTTCCAGAAATGGCACTAGCAGTCCTTAAAGCTGCAGTTTCACAGCAGCCAAAAGAAGAGCAGTTAAAGCTGTGACGGCCCGGCAGGATTATTTGGACGTGATTGCACAGTGATTCCACCAATCACAGCTAGTTCACCTGTGAGTCCATCTGTGAACAAAGGAAGGGCTGCTAACAATGCTGGAAGAAAATGTTTTTCCAGACTTGACAAGGAACACGCTAAAATCCAGTAGGAGGCTTTCTGTGCCGCCTGTTCAGAACATTTCAACCCTGTTCTGATCCGGTTCGGAAATGATTGAAATCCACCCTCAGTAGTAGGCACGCTCCATGATTCAGGAGCTTGTAGACAAACCTTTTTTTTCTGCATGACTTTATCAGTCTGGGGGAATTTTTTCACAGTCTTAGTCTGTTTTAGTCTGCTTCCATTTACTGTGGGTTGCAGCCACTCGTTTATGCACAGCTCTTAATGTCTGACCGCAGTATTTCAGTCGGTTTGAGGTCTGGACTTTGACTTTTTCATTCTTTGTTTTGCAGATTTGTTGTTCAGTTCAGTTCAACTTTATTTATACAGGGCCGAATCACAACAAGAGTCGCAAAAGCGCTTTAGATAGGCACAACTTTCTACAAGCAAATAATACACACAGCCTTATTTGTGTTGCATCACCTTTATCAAGTACTTCCACTCGAACTAGTTCACTTCAGTTTTATTTATATAGCACCAAATCACACGAGTCGCCTCGAGGCACTTTATAATGTAAAGTAAAGACAGAGAAACCCCAACAATCAGACCCTCCCCTATGAGCAACCACTTGGAGACGGTGGGGACGAAAAGCTCCCTCAGGCAGAATCAGACTAGTTGTGGTTGAGAGGAGACATGCTGTGGAAAAGAGCCAGAGATTAATCATAACTGATGACCAAATACAGAGAGGTGTATAAGCACAGAAACACTCAGTGCATCATGGGAAGCGTCCAGCAGCTTAGATCAATTGCAGCATAACTAAGGGAGGATTCAGGGTCACCTGATCCAGCCCTAACTATATGATTTATCATATCTGCCTCCTGAATCCAAACTGGGAGCTGGTTCCACAGATGGACCTGAAAGCTGCAGGCTCTGCCTCCCATTCTACTTTTAAATATTCAACACTTGGCTTTAAAAGCAGCAGAGTATTGAAAACAGACAACAGCCTCTTCTGGTCCACAGCTCAACAGATCAGCATCAGACCTGGTCGCGGTCTTTCCCGAGGACTGCACACAAGCACATTTACGTAGGTTGCAGACTCAGAAGGCTCAGTTTAGATTAATACCTACCCACTTTACCGTAAATTCACCGTAACATGGCTATTGGGTAACTGCTAATAGCTAAACGGCTAACATTAATGTGTTGACGTTTATTATAACTTTCAAATACGTCAGCGTGGTTGAAACAGGAGCTTTACTGACCTGTTGAAATTCCTCAGAGTGATGTTCAGTGTTTTGAGGTATCGACACTGCTGCAAATGGATAATCCTCAAAGAAATTTGAGTTTTTTGTATGGATTGGTTACTAATTTTAAATTTGTCAGACTTCTGGTAAGCATCTGCTCTCACCACGATCATTGTAAATGCAGCTAATAAGCCCTGAAGAGTGAAGCAGTAAAACTGTTAATATTTTTTTGTTGTTTTAAATACGCAGGTTGTAATATTGTTGTTGTCAGCGAGGAACAAACGCTGTGTTGGACACTGATTTCACTTTAATTCTTCCATCAGGGTAAAAGCAGAGCAGCGGGCCTGTTACTCAAACCTATTTAAAACTGTCCTACACAAAGCAAAGACAGACTTTGATGTAGCCTGCCGCGGGATTCTTCATTAGCAGACTAAACTCAGCCTGTGAGAGCTTTAAATGCTGCGAGTGAAGAGGGAGCAGAGAACAAGGAGGCAGTCTGCCTTCATTTATTTTAACTCCAGAGATGGAGAAGAGCAATATGAGCATGTGGTTGAAGTCGGAAAATGTGCGAAAGCCTTTTTTTCCCTGGTGTTACATAAGTTATGCACAAGCCCTGTTGTAGCCTTACTTTAAATATCCAGAAATATACGGTGTGCTCAGGGCGACGTGAAAAAGTGAAAAGTTCGGTTTGGTGTGAACGGCCCGGGCCGGACGCTTGGGGAACATAAACAGAGCTGCACAGGAGTGTGCGCTGGAGCTTGGATCACATGTCACAGTGACCTGGAAATACAAAGTGAATCTAGATCATCACGCCCACACGCCGAAGCTTTAATACATCAGCCCCCCACCCCCGAGAGCGCCGGAGCGCTCCCGAGAGGCAGAAATGTCACATAAAGATATTCCAGTATTTGCTCTTTTTTAGAAGAATACTGCTGTAATATGAATTGTAATACACGCAGATACAGCTGAACTACTTATTATTTCAGGACTTAGAATAAATTGTCTAAAAATGGATTGTGGGGGCAGAAGATCAGATGGCGACGTGCAGGATTACATTAGTTTGAATGTCACATGCAAGTCTTTGCTCTCTTGATCTCTTGGTGCTCAGCTTCCCTCTTTACGAACCTTTTTATTCTTTCCTTTTCTCGTTTCTTTCGAGCTTGTCTTGCTTTTGTCTTTTTGTGCTTCCTTCTTCCTTACTGGTTCTGCTTTTTTCCCCTTGCTCTTCCCGTCTCTAATTTTCTCCTTTCTTGTTCCTTCTCTCACTTCTTCCTTCTGTCTTCACATTTAAACTTTTCCCTCATTTGTTTGTGTGTCATCTGCTCCTCCTACTTTCTTCTGTCTCTTACTTTTGGTTTACATTTTTCTTCATTTAATTTTTTTTGTTTTTGTATTTCACTGTTTTTTCCTCTTCCTGTAATTTCACTCTATTGCATCTTTTTCCTTTCTAGACGTTTAAAATGATCCATTCAGTCTTGTGATCATGGTCCTGTTGCACGACCCCGTTTGGGTCCAACTTTATCTGTTGGACAGACGACCTCACTTTGACTCTACTGTGGTATAGAGTGGATTTCATCATTGTATCAATGACTACAAGGTGCCGAGGCCAAATCGTGGCCCTTCACCACCATGCTTGACAGCTGCTATGATGTATTTGGTTGTTGTGCGTCATGGTCAAACTTTGGTCTCATCCAAAGGACGTTGTTTCAGAAGTCTTGTGTTTTGTTCAGATGCAGCTTTGCAAACAGAAATTGTTCTTGTCCTGTTATTTTAAAGAAAAGAGATTTGCCCCTTGTTACCCTCCAACCTGTTCAGTCTTTTTCCAGCTGCACTGTCATGAACTTTAACATTTACCATTTTAACTGAAGCCTGCAGAGTCTGAGATGTAGCTCTTTGGTTTTTTGCAGCGTCTCCGAGCATTGCACGCACTGACCTTGAGGTGAATTTGGGGTGAATTGTCCACTCCTGGGAAGACTGGCAACTGTCTTGAATGTTTTGTACTTGTGAATAATCTTTCCCAGTGCAGAATAATGGACTTCAGATTGTTTGGAAATGACCTTACAATGCTTCCCAGACTGATGGGCAGCACGAGTTGCCTTTGTTTTTTCCTCCTTGGCATCGTGTTAACACACAACTGAATGCTCCAGACCAGCAACCTTACAAAACTTCTGCTTTTACAGAGGTGCTCAGAATGACTGGTGATCAGCTAATCAAGTGCATATGATTAGCAGGACTTAGAAAACTGGAAGGGTGCACCTCTGCATTTTGTTAAATAATCTGTTGTAGGTTGTATTTACCTCATGTTAAGAGCTGCTAAGGACCAGATTACATTTTTACTATGTTCTGATATGTAAAACCTTCAGACTATAGGGAATTATGATGCATTTATTGTAAATTCCGTACACAGGGCTGCACATAAGTGGTCCGCAGGTGCGCATTCACTGTCAAAATAAAAGACGCGCGTCAGATAAGAAGTTGGAACGCGCGTTTGCTGGAACGCGTACATAAGATGTTCTGGAGGAGCAGGAATACGCACTTGTTTTGCGGTGGAGGAACACCAAAGTTTTCCGTCCTGTTTTGTCATTTTTGTGATGCCGAGGGATGAGCGAGGATATCTGAGGTGCGTTTGAGTTGTGGCGGCGCGCAGATGGAGGAGAGTGACGCACAGACTGAGCAGTGAGGCCTGTCCTCAATCAGCTCCTGTGTGCACGCACGCACAGAAATCTACAGCCATTAAAACCTAAACATCCTCTTAAATGTCAGCAAGCACTCGAACACATGCCCACAGTAGCACATACTCGAGTACCCATAGCAGCAGGCGTACATACGCTGATTCACATGCTAACAACGGGGAACTCTCAGAAATTGAGACAGTCGGAAACTCTTCAGAGTATTTAGTCAAAAAGTGGCAACATTTTCTATAATAATAATAATAATAATGATAGTAATGGATTGCATTTATATAGCGCTTTTCGGGGCCCTCAAAGCGCTGTGCACATCTCTGGCCTAGTGAGCCACAGGGGTTTGGGCTGTGTGAATGTGGGTGGCGAGGTTACTTTGAGCCTTGCCACCCACTCAATCCCTTATCCCCCAACCTCGATTGAAAGACCAAAAAAAGGAAAAAGGATTCAGGCGTCGGGCTGGAAGCCAGCCAGACAGCCGATGAGCTTTTCTCACGGGCCCCACCTCACCTTCCTCTCACCTTCAGCCGCTAATTTATTCACAGACCGGTCTCGAGCATTTGATTTACCCTGGCGGTAAACACGAGCGCATGTCCCGGCTACTGAGCGTTTATTTACACTTCTTAAAAAAACAAAAAGACGCCATCACGGCCTGATTACATGCCGTTACAGTAAACTAATCAAATATTGCCACTGGTTTCACAATGATAAAGGGAGAAAGGAGCCCAGGGTGTTGATTCCTGGGCACATCAGCGAGAGGTCATTATGTTGCCGGCGGAGTGCAGGCAGCTTGCCTATTTGTTCCATATTACAAAGTGATTCGGAGGCTTGACTCTGTACTTTATTTTGTTGAAATTACGGCTGCGAAAAGGGTGAAAGTGAGCTTCAGCCTGCGTTTAATTTAATTGATGCTTTTATCCACAGTCAGGCTCTGGGTCTTAGGACACTCAAGTGGGATGAAGAGGTGTCTCCAAGCACAGGTTGGCTTTTACTGTGATTTTGTTTTTGACCTTTTTGGTTTCAGCACAAGCCGTCAGGGCACAGGTGAGTTTGTTTCTGCGGTATAAAAGCACAGAGAAGGCAGATTTCAGAGCATTTAACAGATGCTCTTCTGTCTTTTTTCTGAGGAAGAAGCAGATTGGATTATGTGTTTTTTACTAAAGCCTCATCCCCCTGTTAAATTGTTTATATTTATTTAAAGGCTTAAGCTTCTGGCCTGAGGTTTTTGGGGATTTTTTTTATAGAACTGCAAAGGTTTTATTTCTTTCCCCCTCCTTTTTTTTCTTTAAACAGCTGTCAGATGTATTTACTTCAGATGGCAACTCAAGCAAAGCAGAAATGGGACTACTCGACTTTTAAAGACGACCAAGTAATGAAATGGTTGCATTTTAAAGATCTTTGCAAAGTGATGGTATCTGATAAGGCGAGCGGGTTTAGTCCGTGAAGTGAGCCAGTAGCATCAGCGGATTTCTTTGGTGCAATAGATTTAGTATATTTAATTTAGGCATATAAAACTTCACCATCATGCTAATGATTTTCTTTCCTTTAAGCTCCTGACGTTCTTAAAAGTCGCTCGAATTTGAGCATCCGGAATGTCCGGGATCACAGACGGTGATTGTTTTGTTTCCTGTTCAGATTCTTTTGCCATATGATGATGATGTCACATGTCATATGGACCATCCATTTGCTGTGACACTTGTGTTTAATACTCAGATCCACTGATCTGGAAGAGCCACTGTGATTCAGGCTCTTATGTGCGCTCAGATTGTGGGGAAATAAAACGTCTTCGGGACTTAAAGTTGTTCGATCGGTGCAAAAAGCGCGTCCAAAGAGCAAGTTAACACCATTTCACAGCCACAAGGTGAAAATATGACTATATAAGAAAGTAATCATGGATTGAAGGTGAGCCTAGGATCAAAATGTAGGTAAACAATGAGACCTTTCATATGCCGTGACCTGTTTTGATCAACCAACCAATCCTTCATGTTGACATGACCTTTAAAAATGAACCCCCAAAATTCCCTTCTTGAGGTTAAAGCCACAAATGAAACGTCTAAGGCACTAATGCTTGTTCCTGCTCCTAATCATAGACATTAAATTGGTGCAGCTTTGCTACTGAAAATGTGATATATCCTGTCAAGTTGATGCAACAGAAATTGATTTTGGCTTCAGGTTGTGACATCTGGAGCTGAGTTTTAGGCCTGAAAATTGAATGTCTGTCTCTTGTTCTTACAGACGTGAGGGCTCAAAAATGCTTTCACCCACCTCAGAGTGTAAAACTTTTGCACTTCTTCATTAAATGCACTAATTGTATCATACATAAAAAATCAATGATGTGATTCTGAGGGGGTCACGTGGGAACTTTTTAAAAAACGGCTGATTTCTGTGGAATGACCCAAGTGGTAATAGTTCTTCATATACAGCAGCCTACTGTATACTACCGACCCCAGCCAGTCGCAGCAGCTGGCCACATGGATCTGCTGGAAGTTTCTCCCTGTTAAAAGGGAGTTTTTCCTTCCTACTGTCACCAAAATGCTTGTTTACAGGCGGTCATCTGATTGTTGGAATTTTCTCTGCATTATTGTGGTCTTTGTCTTACAATATTAAGCACCTTGAGGTAACTGTCATTGTGATTTGTTGCTGTATAAATAAAACTGAATTGAACTATTAGAAAAAGCGTATTTGTGAGTTTCACGTGGTCACTGGTAGGTAGCATAGCAACAGCAGTGACTGTAGTGAGACATGCTCACAAAAGTATGGGATGAGTTTGTTGTTTGGACATGTGTGGTGATTACGGAGAAGGAAACATAAAGCTCTTGTGAATATGGTAAATATTGTATATAACCTTGTAGTTTTCTGTGTTTTTGCATGCTCGTATTGTTGTTGACCTATTTATTCCTGCTGTGTTCACTCTGCTGCTCTAACAATGTGAATTTCCCAACTCTGTGACTAATAAAGCCTATCTTATCTCATCTCATGATATGTAGACAGATAGATGTGAGGGCTAATAAGGAACAGTTCCAAACTTCCGTGCAGGATACTTGGAATTATCTGCAATCAGTCGCCCGTTTGGTGAATATTTGCTAATGTGATTGTGGTCTTTCTTCGTGCAGCAGCAACAGGAGCTCCTGGCTTTGAAGCACCAGCAGGAGCTGCTGGAACATCAGAGGAAGATGGAGAACCACCGTCGGGAGCAGGAGCTGGAGAAGCAGCAGAGAGAACAGAAGCTGCTGCTGCTGAAGAACAAGGAGAGGGGCCAAGAAAGTAAGTTGAAGCAAGATGAGTGATACTGAGAGCGCTAGCAGTCAAACTGAATCTGAAGCCAAGCCTGCGCCCTGTAGCCAACTTTCCCAGTTTGAACAGCAAAACCATATGAAATCATATATTGAACCAGTATAACAGCAAATGTAACTTATTTATTTTCTCTCATCTTCAGTTCACACTTTGTCACCACTGGTGCCTCAGTATGTCACTATCTAAGCTGATCAAAGCTCCTACGAACCTGCAGTTGTCATACAGAATTCTCTACCACATCTATACTCACAACAGAATCTGCTGTGAATCTCTGGGTCGTACCCAGTAATGAATCTAATCTGGGTTTAACTGAAACATAACAGGAGCCAAGTTGTGCTTGTTGCTAACCACTGTTTGTGGGAGTCTTTCCTCTGAGTTTAATAAATACCTTCAGGTTTATAGGATCCATATGAGTGTCCCCAAAGCAAGAGACTTGCGTGCATTTATGTTTTCCATAAATACATACAGAACTTAACCTACTGGGATGCATCAACAGGACAACACTGGAAACAATAATTAGAGGTTGTCGTCCCCATATTAGTAGCTTACGTTATGAACAGCATTTGATTTCACACTCAGTTCAGTGTTACAGTTACAGCTTATAATGTCGTGTGTAGGGTACCCACCACCACCACCACCACCACCACCACTACTGTGAACTATTGTTTCCTGTCTATACAGTCAGGAAGCTTGGTAGCATCTGCCAGAGTTATCGAGAACTCTCTGTTCAAAAGGACCGTTGTGTTTGTGCGCTTCTGTGCGCGTGTGTTTGCATGTCTGTGTATTTCCATTTTACTTGGAGAACCTGTGTGTTTACTGTGGTAAACGAGCTGTATTAGCCCGGTGGCCTTGGCTGGAGCTGGGCCGAGTTGTTACCGCTGCCTGCTGGATGTCTCTCAACAGTTCATTGAAAGCAAGTGGACAGGAGTCCTTGAGAGCCGTTTACACACTATATGGAAAATGGTTACAGATCGTGTGTGTGTGTGTGTGTGTGTGTGTGTGAGACTGGTTGTGTGTGTGTGTGTGTTGTGTGTGTGTGTGTGGTATGTGTGTGTGTGTGTGTGTGTGTGTGTGTGTGTGTGTGTGTGTGTGTGTGTCCGTCCAAACGAGCAAGAGAGAGGACTGCAGTGTTTGCTCTCACGTGTATCTGCAAAGGTGCAGTTTGTGGTCTGTAGATTTCTTAGTTTGTAGCGTTTTTCTTTCTTTCCACAGTTGTTTATCCAAGAAGTGTGTTTTTTGCTGATTCACTGTAAGACGAGAGCAAGGTTTTTTGATTGATTGGTTATTTTAGTAATTAATCCGCTGATTCTTTTCTCAACTGATTCTTTTCATTTTAAAAATCGGGAGATAGTCGCAGTTACTTAAAGCCCACTTTCGTGTCTTTCTATTCAGCGCCCCAGATTACACAGAAAACTGAGACAAACACTAATTTCTGCCTAAACGTCTGAGGAAGGTCAGACGTTCAAGTTTTACTGTTCAATGACTTCCAGTTGACGAGTTGATTTTAGCTTCCAGATGGGATTTATGCATAATAAGTTTAGAAAATACAAGACAACTGAACAAATTAGCCCTCTTCCTGTTAAAAGGGAGGTTTTACTTCCCACTGTTGCCAAGTCCTTGCTAATAGGGAGTCATGTGATTGTCGAATTTCCTCTGAAGATAAAGATGGGACTTTCTGGAAAGAAAACATTAATAAATCTTTGGTCCTGATTTTGACTTCTTTTCTTTATATGCTGGCAGTGATGTGGATGTTTTGTCTGAGTGGCAACAGCTTTCAGGAGAATACTGGAGCAGGTATTCGTGCAATAAGTGGTGTTAAATGGTACAAAGCTGTGGCAATGTTTGATTCCCCCCTTAGCTTCTGAGGGCAGTGTCCTATATCTCAGGAGTCCAGACTCAGGAATCTGTAGTCAGTTGATATGTGTGCAAGTTTTGGTTTAAGATAAAAACTAAATCACCGCCAAACGAACTCTAAACTTTTAACCTGCATGTAGTGATCGGTTATCCAAAATGACCTGATCTGAGGATTAGGAATAAGATCTCTCCTGTTGGAGGTCTTAGCTGGGATAGTCTAGTTACACTGGAATACCAGAAGTCTCATCTCATGCCTATAGATGTTACATATGAACATGCAGATATTGTTAGGGGAATTTAAACGGGGGGATTTAGTGGCAGAAACACACACGGGCACAGGATCGCGGTGAAGCAGGTTTATTTACAGTGACAAGGGAATATTTACAAGGGAAGGAGCTATGTACAGTGGCCGGGAAAATGTGCGAGGAGACAGAACCGAGGGGATGAAACGGAGCCGAGGTATGCGGGAGGATAGATGGCGCACCGGAGCTACCTGAGGACGAGCGACAAAACAGAGTTAGGGGATAACGTCGAGAGTAAAACTGAGGCGGACGGGGAGAGTTGGAGAGCTTACTTGAAACACTGAAATACAGGTATGGCAGTGGTCACAGGCCGGCGCGAGGTAAGTCTCTGTCACAGATCCAAAGAGGGCCAGCACACACAGGCAGGCGGCGAGCCAGGCTGGTGCAGAGGGAAAGCAGGCAGGAGACGGATCTTAAAGCATGCAGCTCAGTAGCGCGGAAGCAACAGATTAATCTTGCAAAAGCACGTTACCACTTGTGGAAGCGACGATACTGCGACACCAGACGTCCGTTACTCAGCTCCATAAATGCTCCCACTGATGACGTCCGATACGCCGCCGGAATGCCATCAAGCACCGCCCCGCCTACCTGTGTCTCGAAAAGGGGAAACAAAAACCCAGGAACAACAACACGCATGCCCACCAACTCCTAATAGATATGTGATTACAGAGATTAGCCATTTAAAACTGGAGTCCATCTCTTTCCTTCCACTAATCCAATTTAGGGTGGCAGGGGCGGCCTGGAGCCTATCTCAGCTGTCATAAAGCGAGAAGCAGGCTACTCCCTGGACAAGAGGCCAACATTCACGCCCGCATTCACATGTAGAATCACCAGTTAACCTAAAGCCATGCATGTCTTTGGACTGTGAGAGAACCAGAGTACTCACAGAGAATCCACACAAGTCATGGATTCTAACCCAGGACTTGCTGTGAGGCAGCACTCTGCCACCCACAGTATTAAAAACCTAATGAAGACAGATCAGCCAAAGACAGTATCTGCTTTGAAACATGTTACAGTGGAAGAGTGTAATAGGGTTCGTTTCACACTTAAGTGAAAAAGATCAAACTGATTATGAGAATTGTGATGAGACATCCAACTATCGCGCCAACCACCCATGGACACTTGGCCCTTTTCCCCACAGTCTTCCTACAAGTTCAGTCACGGTGGCTAACTGGTTATGGTAATTGCTCGTGATGTAGCGTACATTCAGCTGTAATGACTTTCTCTTTCAGGCGCTGTGGCCAGCACCGAGGTGAAGATGCGCCTCCAGGAGTTCGTCCTGAATAAGAAGAAGGCACTGGCCCAGCGTAGCATCAACCAAGGAGGCCTCCCCAACGACGCTCCCTACTGGTACCGGTGAGGAGCATCTTTTGTGGTGTTAGCTCAGCTAGTAATGCACATGATACACTCAACCAAAAAGTTTGTTTGACATCAAATCATTCTCCCTCCTGTCAGTGCGCGAGCCGCCGCTGATTCTTTGTAATGACTGTAAGCAGCAGAAGACTCCTGAACGCATCTGCAGGTCTTTCTAAGTGTAGGATGGTAATTCTGTCTCTGACAGCAGCTGAATAATGTATTGGATTGTATCTTAATCTGTCAGCGAGCTTCCTCCACACCTGCCACACTGTGTGAGCCCGACTGAAAGATGGATCTAGCAGGGTTATGAAACAAAGATGGTCACACGCACACGTGATAGAGCTGCATATTGGAAGCTGATGATAGGGACCCTCACATTGAAGACGTGGCCTTGGATGGTTATTGTAGCATCTCGGGAGCCTTGTGCAGGTGTGCACACTTGCTGCTTCCTCATTCTAGGTTTGGTGGCCTCCTGTCACATGTTTTTTATTGCCCGTCAGTGACGTTGTAGACAGCGTGCTCAATGCAAGCTACAGAATTTAATATACAAACATACATCAGTTATATTTATATATAAATACTCCAATCACTGGACGCCAACTTTTCCTACTCGCAAGGAGTTTGCAGTCCTGGTTTGACTCTGTGTGAAGGAAACATGAAGATGTGAGTTTAACGACAAATAGTTGAATAATGGTGACATGGACTCGCGGTGAGTAAAGACAGTCCTCTGGGACTTTTGACACTGGGGACACAATTAAAATTCACATGTATTCATTCTTTACTGTCATTAATTAGTTTACTTGGAAAAAGTATATTTTCCAGTTTTGAATTGAATTTCCAGTAATATCAATTCTCAAACTCCTAGAACTTTGCAACTCAGGTGAGAGACTTTAGTTCAACCAGTGTAACGTGCCATCAGCTAATTGTATATTTTGTATGAAAATGTATATGCAGTTGACTTTTCTCTCTGTGTAAATAACTCAGAACTGTAGAATAAAAGCACAGCCCTTAAATTAATATTAGCGCTCACTACTGCTGACACAGGCCTGACATATATTTAGCTTTGAAGTTCAGCCCTGGATGTAGCACATCCGAATATTATTCCCTATGACTACATGCGTCTTTGTGCTACAACAAAAAAGGACTGAAACCACAAATTGCAAACGCAAAACCAAATAAATAACGTTACATAATCTTGATGTGTGACCCAGTGAAACACCCACAAGTGTTGACTTTCAACAGCTCAAAGTAACACAAAGTGTATCTTTCTATATCTGCCTGCTTCTCTCCTTTTCTACGCCTCTCTCTGTAATCTAAATTTCTCCACTCATTGGACTCAGTTTGGAAGAGACAAGTGTGTGCATCCGCTTGTCAGGAACATGCATTTGGGCCAAAGCCAACATGGCTTAACTTTGCCTGCAAACACCACCTTATTTTGCAGGCAGTGAACAGATGGCAGCACATTTCTGTGTTCTTGCCAAGGGATTTGCATGATGCTTTAATCATAAAGATCTATGACAGCCATGAAGTTCGTTACTTTGTCTGGATTACTCATTGAGTCACGTGTACAGTGAGTTATCGGTGTTTTGCCTTGTTGCACATGTTTTGTGATCTTGGTGGCCCCTTTAATACTGTGTGTGTGTGTGTGTGTGTGTGTGTGTGTGTGTGTGTGTGTGTGTTTGTTTTGCAGCAAAACCCAGCACAGCTCTTTGGACCAGAGCTCGCCTCCACAGACTGGCGTGTCCACCTACAACCACCCTGTGCTGGGCGTCTACAACCCCCGGGATGACTTCCCACTGCGAAAGACTGGTGCGGTCCCCACACACACATACACATGTGCATACACTTTGTTTTGGCAGTGCAGACTCATCTATTTGCTGCATGCACACATGAGAATTACACACACACACATACACTGAAAGTTTAATGTCCAGTAGCTGCCATGTAGACTCACATCTAGCATTATTTAGATGGCACTGAGCACTGCTCCATTAATCACATCCAGATTAGGCTGTCAGGGTCTCCCAGCATTCCCTACATGAGAGCAGTAGAGAGTGCAAGTGTAGGTAAGTGTAGTTCAGTACAGTGAGCGCTAAGAAACATCAGCTTGACACTGATAGTTTGAATAGTAAAAAGTTACTGTTTTTTACCAAAATATGACAGCTATATTTACTGTTATTTCCTTTAATGTATTGGATATTTGAATATTAAGACTAACTGGCTTGAGGGCTGTGTTAGTAGTGAAGAACTCCAATTACCTTTGGAGTTCCCCAGGGCTCTGTTCTTGGTCCTCTTAAACTTCCACATTTCCACAGGTGCTTTTGCAGGTGTCTTTTCTTGAATGTTTATAAAGCCACTCTCCCTTTACATAACAACATAGCTCAGTGAATTTGGGTGTGGTACTACTATAATGTACCACCAAAGCAGCAAGTCAGTTGGTGAAATTTCAACTGCCTTACATGAAGTACAATGCCAAGCATAAAGCACACTACCAGTAAACTCTGGAGCAGTTTTAAAAAAATAAACCTCTATTTAACCCGGAGAAAATAAACTCTTAAGTAGGGAAAGGGTATCGTTTAGGTTTTATCCGATACCGGTGCCAAACCGGTACTTTTGAAACGGTGCCGGTGCTTAAAGAATGGAGAACACAAAATTGGTCCAAAAACCTCTCATGTTCAGCTGTTTTTTTGTAAAAAGATAACAATGTTAGCCTTTTCTGCAGCTATGGGGCATATATGGTATCACTCTTGGCTGGAAGCTTAAACAATGGAAAAAACACAAACTTTGTCCAAAAACCTCTCATGTTTAAGCTGTTTTCCACTTTTTCTTTGGTCATTTTAGCCTTTTTGGCCAGGGTGAAGGGAGTATCTGCCATCAAACAAGAAGACAGCCGCATGTAGCTATGATGGTGTTTGCTAGTTCACCTTACATGCATTAATGTAATAACGTGGTTAGCCTACTCAACGTAAATTACACACGAACAACATGAAGCTACTCACGCAGAGAAGAACGGCTGCTGCTGCATCATCATCCTCATCATTTCTGCTACACTGGCAGGGCTAGGGGCCAGGACTCTCCTCTTCGGGTTTTTGGGGGATGTTGCTCCGGGTCCGATAACTGGCAACCCACCCGACGTGCACGGTGTGAGGTCTCGCAGCAAGCTATCAAATACGGCGCATTTCTCGGCTTTTAAAAAAAACGCTATGCGTCGCCAGGTGTTTCATCGGATTCGAGGTGTTACCTCCTTTGACAGTATCACAGTATCAGCTTAAAGCACTTGTTGCTGCTGAGTTTGCATCTTTTGCTGTGAAGTACAGCCAGACTTTTGACCGCTTCGCCTTGGACATTTTTAATCTGTAGCTCTGCTCTAAAAGAACGTACGTACCTGGGCCCGCCTACTATCCTCGGAAACGTAAAATGATTGGCTGGAATCTAAAGTGTGTGACATCTCAGGAAAATAAAGCACCGAAATGTGCGCTGCTTTTCGGTCTGGTTACTACGGTTTATGTCAGAACCGGTGCCTTGGATGGCACCGGATACCGGTACCCATCCCTACTCTTAAGATTGAATCTCTTTTACAAGAGCATCCTGGCCAAGAAGGACAGCAGTACTATTATAAGTTGCATAAATTAACAGCACATACAAAACAATACACCAGGTGAGTACAAGCTTTGAGAAGAGTTTGGGGAGGGTCCTTATTCTGTTCCCGCATGACTGTGATCCAGTACATAAAGTCCAAAAAAGGCATGGTTGGATGCATTTTGGTGAGTTTAACCCCGTTCAACACCTTTGGGATGAACTAGATCAAAAAATGTGAGTCCAGTATCAGTGCCTGACCTCACAAATGCTCTTCTGGATGAATGGGTAAAGATTTCCACAGATTTATTCCAGACTCTTGTAGAAATCCTTCCCAGAGGGGTGGAAGCTTTTGTAGCTGCAAAGGGGGCACCAACACCATACTGATGCCTAAGGTTGTAGGATAGGATAGCATAAAAGCTTTAGTAAATTTAATGTGTAGGTGGCCAAATACCTTTTTCACATAGTGTATGTAAGATATGTACACACAAGCACAGCATGCACTTCTTATTGTCCAGAAACTAAAACAGATTCACAGAGCTGAAAGTTTTGTTTCACATTCGGTGCTCATCATGTCAAAAACAATTAAAGCAGTTAAAACTGCTGAAACACACCAGAGAAATAGATAAAAGTTTACTTGTGGTGCACAATCTGTCATTCTTTGGGTCTGCTGCTCAAACATCAGATGTCTTTAAAGCTTTAGCGAGTAAAACCAGCTGTGTTCAGCGTGCTTTTGTCAGGTGTGTGTGTATGTGTAGCTCTGTGTGGGTGTGCGAAGTGCGAGTGGTGTGTGCGGTGGTGTAGCCGTGAAGCAGCGGTCGTCTTACAGTGCAATTATTCACTTAGCCCAGTGGCAGGCCGCTCCAGCCCTGTTGACTCTGAGCCTGCAGGCTGCTGGCTACGACAACAGATAGACCACAGTTGACACTGGCCCACACAGCTGCATTCCACCCTGGGAGAGCAGCAGAAGGAGAGGAAAGTGAGGGAGAAAGAGGCGAGTAACATGAAGGAAGAAAAGGAGATAATGAGTAGAAATGAGTGAAAACAGAAAAAGGAGAATGAAGAAGGTGCTTGCTAGCTTCGCTGATCATTTCCTTGAGAAAGATGATTAGAGCATAGAAAATGAGAGCTGGCATGCAGGATTTAAACTAAATCCAGCAAGTGCACGATGATTACACACTTAGCAAAATCTGCTTTATGTGCAGAATGGAAAAAAAAAAAAGAGAGAAAAACTGGAAGATGGCAGAGAGTGAAAAGATCGTCCCTGGAGTGTCAGCCCGTCCCTGGATTTCTATAAGGCTGAGGATTGTGCTCTGCTGCTGAGAGAGAGGGGAACCTGTGCCGCCCTGATATTTGCCCACAGCACTGACGTGCTTTGCGGGGTTTACTTATGGTAATGGCAGCTTGGTAGAGTTTAGAGGCTCTTTTATATCACCGCCAGGCCATAAAATAGAGGACTGGAACCCAGAACTCCCAGCAACGGCCGAAGGAAGCAACAACGCTCTTTTGTGCATCTCCCCGTCGTCCTTTTTACCATTTTACAGTGCAACGACAGAACAAGCCAAAAAGTTTGCTTTCTTTTTGAGTCCCGGCTGATTTGGTGACAACTGTGGTTACTTCTTGAACAGCGTGAGATTTAAGATTTAATGCAAGCAAATCTGTAAGCAGTAAAACAGACTCATTGTTTTCATGCTTTCCTTATGGCAGCAAGCAGCCTTTCACCTGTAATTCTTCGTCCATCAGTTCACTTTGACTACTTCTAATCTACACATAAGACTCTGCAGAACGTTACAGCATGGAACAAGTCCCAGAAATGTTTTAGCTTTTGGTGCACTTGTTCTCCATTGTACACTCAGTGTGTGGAGAGCAAAAAAGGAACCATATTTGCTGGAAATTGTATCTCAAAACCACCCAAATGTCATCAGGTGATGATTTTTTCTTTTTATACTTGTCCAACAACAGAACAGGAAGTCTACACCAGACGACATTTCAACTTATTAAAGGCCAAGCTGTGGGAAAGGTGCAAAATTGTAACTAAACACATGGTTTAAGTTCTAAGCAAGCTAAAGGTGTAAAAGGTAGAAGAGTCAGGTGACACAAGGTGTTTCCTGAGGACCTTTGTCCCAGAACATCAAGTGCATTCACTGTACCGTCCGTCTACAGAGGAGACGATGAACATGTACGTCTCAGAATCAGAATCAGAATCAGAATGGGGTTTATTGCCAGATGTTGAGCAGGTTTACAACATTAGGAAATTGCTGCGGTGCTTCAGTGCAAACATACTGTCATAAAAATATAAAAATAAGAATAAGAATTAAAAGTGCTAAGTGGATAGATATATACATGATATATACATGAGTGCAGGTGGTGATCAGTGCCAAACATGGAATGATGCAGTGAACACAGCGTAGGGTCATGTGTTAGTGGTGGGAACAGTCATATGGTTATTGTTCATGTGTCCAACAGCAGAGGGGAAGAAACTGTTCTTATGGCGAGAGGTTCTGGTGCGAATGGACCGGAGCCTCCTGCCTGAGGGGAGCAGGTCAAACAGACTGTGTCCAGGGTGAGAAGGGTCAGCTGAGATCCGAGCTGCACGCCGCAGTGTCCTGGAGGTGTACAGGTCCTGCAGAGATGGGAGTCTGCAGCCAATCACCTTCTCAGCAGAGCGCACAACACGCTGCAGTCTCTGTTTGTCCCTGATAGTGGCTCCAGCGTACCACACAGTGATGGAGGAGGTGAGGATGGACTCGATGATTGCAGTGTAGAACTGCATCATCGTCCGTGTTGGCAGGTTGAATTTCTTCAGCTGCCTCAGGAAGTACATCCTCTGCTGGGCTTTCTTTATGACGGAGGTGATGGTGGGCTCCCACTTCAGGTCCTGGGTGATGGTGGTACCCAGGAAGCGGAATGAGTCCACAGAGGTGATGAGGGTGTCAGTCAGGATGATGGGGGGGGCTGTGTGCTTCCTGAAGTCCACAATAATCTCCACTGTCTTCTGGGCATTCAGCACCAGGTTGTTGTGGCTGCACCAGGACACCAGACGTTCAACCTCCCTCCTGTAGGCAGACTCATCCCCGTCCGAGATGAGTCCGATAACGGTGGTGTCATCTGCAAACTTGATTAGCTTGACAGACTGGTGGGTGGAGGTGCAGCAGTTGGTGTACAGGGAGAAGAGCAGAGGAGAAAGAACACAGCCCTGAGGGGAGCCAGTGCTGATGGTCCGGGAGTCCGAG